GTTTATTTATATAGTATCTATGGCTGCCTTTGGGCTAGAGCAGCAGAGTTTAGTAGCTGCAACAGAGACCATGTGGCCTATAAAGCCTAAAATAATTATTGGCCCTGTGTAGAAAAACTTTGCTGATCCTTGTTCTAGAATATTTCACCTTTAGACTTTCTTGTATTGTCCTAATTAATTTTTCTTCCATAATATTTAGAGAGTAGGCTTGAGTTTCTTATTCTCAGTTCTCAGTGATCTTAGTGGGGTCACCTATGGGATTGCTGAAACAGGGAAGAAACAGTTCTGCAAAAGACAGCTCCAGGAGGAGCTCTCTCCTCACAGAAGGCAGACATCTGATGATTGTTGCCTTAGGGCACTGAGTCCCCTTTCCCAGAAGCCAGTTGTCACACATACATTAGCATCAAGCAGAGATTCACCTCTGTCTGCTCTAGGTTTTTTCAACTTGATTTACCTCTTGACCGTTCTTTTGTAATTCTTAAAGGAATAATTAACATTTGACCCTTTCCTGAGTCTCATTTTCCTTGTCACTTTACCCACAGAGCCATGGGAAACAGAGAGAAGGCTCCCCCTATACTGCATCGCCAGTGGCTAGCATGGTGCCTGGCACATACAGCATTTGTGTTCAGTGATAAATATGTTTTGGGTGAATTACTCAGTGCCTGTGCAGAGCTTCTCATCAGATAAGTCTGTTCTGCCAAGTTAAAGAGTCTCATTGGCACAACCCCTGCTTTGCAGAGCTTCCTTTTCCTTCACCTTCTGTGACAGTCTGTCTTGTCTCATTTATGGCACAGAGAAAGGTCAGCATTAGGTCAGTAACCATTGATTATTTCCCCCGTCCCAGGCGGTGGTTATCATGGGCGTGGTGCTCCAAGGTGCCAATCTATATGGTTACATCAGGTGTAAAGTGGGCAACAGGAAGAACTTCACCAGCATGGCCACCTCGTATCTGGGAAAGCAGTTTTTAAGACAAGTAAGTGTTTTCTGGATGTAATCAGTGACCAATGCAATGATTCTAAATTTTGTAGAATTTAATTGTTATGAAATGCTTCTTAAAAAGTTTTTTAAAGACACATAGTTATTTAAATATGAGATAATGATAAAGATGTTTTAATTGCTCTTTGGAGGCCTTTAGGACATTCTAGATATGTATTGTCAATGTCCTAAAATATTTTAAAACCAGGAGGGATAAACTATCATTGATAATAACATTTTTTTTTAGGTACTTTCCATTAAGTGTGGTGGCTTTAAATGAATATTCTTGAAGAATATATATCGTATGGTTTTAGGGCTTGTAGCAAGAACAGGTTGAAACATAATAAGACTGTATCATTAAAGATTGTTTTAAAGCACTCATGTTTCTTTCCCTCAGAACATAAATGTTTTTACTATAATTCCCCAGTATCAGGGTTTTCAGTGGGATAAATAGTAGTCATAGGTAAATAGTTATTGGTTAGATCTCTTGGGAAAATTGACTAGGTCTTTATGCGAGTAATACCTGGTATTTCTTTAGTGCAGTAGGTTGGGCAAGTAGTGTTAATATATAAGGGTTCTCAAACTCGAACATGCATCAGAATCATGTAGAAGGCACAAGGTGGCTGGGCTCCACCCCCAGGCTTCTTATTCAGTAGATCTTGGGGTGGGGTCTCATACTGTGCATTTCTGACAAGTTTCTGTGAGGTGCTGGTCCCAGGATTACTCGTTAAATAACTAAAGCCCTGAGAGATATTAAGTGACTTACTCAAGAATATACGGTTAATAAGTGGTACAAAGCTAGGGCTTGATTGGACCCAGCTCTGTGTACTCAGAATTTATCGTTCTTTCCATTCTATTGTACATTTCCTCTTATAGAAGATAAGAAGTAGAGAAAACAGATATACCTTTTCTGTGGTCCACCTTAGGGTAATTTTCATGCATGTGCTTATTACATTTTTTTCCCCTCAGGATTTTCAGTGTTTCTGTAGGTGGGGAGGGACATTGAATATAGGTGAAATTTAACCTTCAGCCTGGTGTAACATGGTTAAGGGGTTAATGTCTTACGTGGCACCTGGCTATTCTCTGCTCAAATGGAACGAACTGGACATCTGGGTGGGTGATGGTATCCATGGATTTATATCTTCAGCTTGTCTACTTTTTAACAGGAATGGGCCATTGAATGTAAGGTAATGTATTGATAGTAGCTGGCTCGGCTTAGAAATAGGGGATGTTTTCCTAGGCCTGGTGCTTTGAAGGCCAAGGTGTGTGAAATAACTGAATATTAAGGAGATTTTTTTTTCTTTTGCAGAACACTGGAGATGATCAGACTTCCTGAATAAAGAGAGAAAGCTTATAAATTTTGTTACACTGGAGAACAACCGAAGAGATTCTTGACTTTGAACCTTTTAGAGTTCAGTCTGTGTTGCATTGAGGAGTGTTGGGTTTGCTTTTCCACTTAACAGTTTTATTTTAAAAAAAGGAAAAGTAATTTTCATATTAAGATTTTTCTTTCCAGTAGTTGGAGCTAGAATGTATGTTGTCACTAGAAACATGGTTAAAATTTGTTTTATGGTGTACATATGTGCATAGTTATGTAGGATCAGTATATCCCAAATTAATAAAAGTGTTTGTGTTCGTTTATATATGTAACAGAGACCTTAGCATTTTGATCCATGGAACATAAGAGGATGTTCTTAGTTTATCTCCAAGCTCTATGTGTTTACATATTATTTGTGTAGATTATTTTCAGAAGTAAGCTTTGCTTCCATGATAAGAGTGAGCACTTTGGCTTATATTGTTAAAATATGTACTTCATGGTGAAATTTCTTAGATATACACAAGCAAGTAAAAACCAAATTCGGGCTAGTGGTGTTACCTAGTTTCTAAAATTTTGTTTCTTTTTATTTGTAACAAGTCATTTACTTAAGGCCCAATTAACGTAAATGGAATCTTCACAGTTTATGTTTAAGGGATACCCAGAGGCTGCTGTTCTATTTATTTTAAGGCAAGGATAGCCAGATTCTACTCTGGAGTTTCCTGGAAGCTCTTCAGTACTCCTTGGGCTAATAAGATCTCTCTTTTATCAGTAAAAGAGCATTATTCTTATGTCATAATAAGAATAATCATTTAAATACTCGGCAAACTAAATGCCTAAAAGACTTTTTATTTTATGAATCTTTTTTTTCTTGCTATAATGGGGATATTGTAAATCATACTTTTGTATTAATGGTATTTCTTAAAGCAATATATTTAGCTGTAAACTAAACTGATCTATAAACTATCGTAGGCATCTGTAAATTCTGTTGTATGTATTGTAAACTTTGGTGGAGTCTTTTAATCAGCAGATTATGTTGTGAATGTATTTATACATTGTTAAAATATTTTTAAGACATTTGTTTAATTGAATAAGTATCTCTATTGTAGTGATAGCTTTGAAGGTGCAGAACTTTATATTTGCATAAAACTCTACTGTTTACAAAGCATCTGGCATGTGTAATCTCATTTAACCCTCACGCCAAATATGTGGTACCTCAGATGATGAAACTGAACTTCAGATTATTGAGTGACTTTCCCAGGGAAACACATATTACAGGAATATCTATAGGGTATAAAACTGGATATATTACCATTTTTAGAGGAAATATTTGTCTCTAAATGTCTTTCCCTTTCTCAAGAATCATTAATTTGTTAAGTGCTTGTTTGCCATTTTACTTATATTCAGCTATTCCATCTGGTGAGAAAAGTTGGTACTGCACTAAAGACATGTTTTTATTTAATTTGAAAGCTCTAACCTAAATCTTTAGGATTGAGATTCTGTCAGGAGATACATTGATATAGTTCTTGAGGTAACTGTTATTTGAACCTACAATCCTAAACCAAGTAAGAACTCAATTTGGAACACGCATGTGTTCTGCGTATCCCCTAATATCCATTTTTTCCCCTCTACAGGTTTCTCGCTTAATTAGCTGGAGCATGGCAGTCTGGAATAAAGATAACTTTTCCTAGATTTATTGCTACAGCTTGGTGTGGCCATGTGACTTGATTCTAGCCAATGATACACTTCTAGGAAGTATGCTTAAAAGGAGGGGTAATACCCATCTCCTCCTCTTTTTTTCTTCCTGCTGGCAGAAATGTAGACAGAGTAGCTAAGCTGGAGCAGCCACCTTGTTCCATGAAGTAGAGGCAGAGAAATGAGGTAGAGATTGTCTGAATCCCATCTGATGGGTACAGCAGCTCTGAACTGCCTATCTAAATTTTTGAGAGAGAAAGATCTTTAGGTGTTATTGTTCTGGCTTCTCTGTTGCTCATAGCCTAACTGAATTCTTGTCAATACAATGCACTTTGAGCCTCACCCATAATTGTTTCCATTAGTACAGTATTTGAGATGTAATAATTTAGTAAATACATATTTGACCTTTTCTCTACGTAGTAATTAAGTGAACATTATAGGTGCTGACGAGTTTTACTGTTCCAGATGCTGTTGCTGCATAAAAATTCACCCCAAAAGTTAGCTGCATACAACAGTTATTTTATTCTCAGAAATTCTGTGGGACAGGAATTTGGAGGAAGCACAGTGGGGACAGCTTTTCTCTGCTCAGCAGTATTTGGGGCTTAGCTAGGAAGATTTGAAGGCTGGGTTTGACCTGACAGCTGGAGCAGGAGATATCTAAGGTGTTTTCAGCCCCCAGTCTGGAGGGTAATGTTGGCCATCGGCTGGGGCTCCAGCTAGGCTATTGGTTGTGACATCTCCATTTGTGACCTCTCTGTGAGGTTTCTGTATGGGGGCTTATCTGGGCTTCTTCAAAACCTGACACTGGGTTCTTACAGCCTCCCAAAAGAGCAAAACCGGAGTCTCTTCCTGGCTTCGAAGAATGTATTCTAAGATTGTATGTAAAACAGTGAGAGAGTATTATCTCATTCTTGTAAAAAAAAAACAAAAAAAAAAACAAAAAAGGAAACACTCCCTAAAACCTTTATATTGTCATTCTTATTAAGAGAGAAAGAAACAGCATTTCCTCAAGAAGTCATCATTTAATGCCAGGAAAAAATGTAATCTTAAATATAATTTTTCCCTACTGTGATTAATTAAAAAACTGCATAGTGAGAAAATCAAGTAGTATGGAAGGGCTTACAAAGAAAAGCAACAGTCTCTTACCCACTCTCAATTCTGTTCCTCAGAACTGCTTCTGTTTTTATATTTTGGCATAGTAATCTCCATACCACTAAATAATACGCTTGCAGTGCTCATAGTGTTTCTGGACTTAACAACTTTTATGTGTTAACTGTTGACTTCCTGCTACAAAAAGTGAAGATTTAACTCAAACCCCTACCCCACATAGAGTTTCAGCAGTGTTTTTTGCTCAATTGGTTGTAATACTAAACGTTGTACATAAATCTCTATTTTTTTCAGGCCCATCAGTTATCTTTTGCACCTGTTGATTTCCTCTGTTAGGAATTAGTTCACTTGCAAATAACAGAAAATCCCACAAATAATAATGGCTAAAACAAAAAACAGTTTGTGTTTTTTCCCACAAAGGAAGTCTGGAACTAGGCAGTTGCTGGTGTCAATGCAGCTACTTAACAGTTCCATCAGGGACCCTGATGCTCTACCATCCTTAGCTGGTTTCTGTCCCCATGCTTGTCTCATGGTCACAAGACGACTGTCACGGCGAAGATGACACATCTATTTTAAGGAAGGAAAAAAGATGAAAGCTTCAGTTGTATGTTCCCTTTTATCAGATAAGTGAAAGCTTTCTCAGAAATCACAGGAGACTTGCTTCCACTTCCCTCTCAGTGGCTAAAATGGTGTCACCCAGGTGTAAGGCAGTTTGGGAAAACATATTTAGGTAGACACGTTGCTACCTTGAATAAAAGATTGTGTTAGTAAGGAAAAGGGGGAAGGGACATTGGGTAGGCAACTAGCCGTGTCTACCGCACACTTCTCAGGTTTCGTACAGAGGACATCAGATGCTGCATGCAGTGACTAATGCCCCCAGTGTCATTTCCACAATAAACAAACAGCATTTTATCCGCACAGCATCTATTTTTAGCCAACGTTTGATGCAAAGCCATTAAAGCACTACATGGCAAGATAGTTCTGTGAGGGCGTAGGCTGCTGTGCTCTTAAGGATGTATCCCTGTTTACTGCGATTCAGGGTTTGAATTTAGACTCTCCAGAGCAGTGGTTCTCATGGGGATGGAGCCACCCCCAGTGGGTATTTTGGAATTTGGGGGGGGCTTGGTTAACACATGACTGATGAGAGCTGCTGATGCTGTAGTGGGTGGAGCCTAGGGATGCTAGGTGCATCCTGCATAGGACGCCTGTGTACAGCGAAGTATTGTCTCGTATCATGACTTCTTTGTGCCCCACTGAATAATTGTGTACATGGAAATCCCGTTTATAATGAGAAAGGAAAAGCAGCCCCTACAGCTGTCAGCTGGAAGTTGACGTGGCCCTAACAGCTAGGCGATGATCTCCTGTTGAACATAAACAATTTTATAGAACACCAACATCCAACAAGACCACTCTTGACTGTGATGAAGCAAGACAAAAATAAGGACACCCTGTAGTCTATGTGGGGGCACAGAAACAAGATAGTGTGCGAACTACAAAAAACAACCAGACATCCCTGTTTTCTGGCTCACATGAGTGACTGCTGCTGCTTTGCTAACTGCAGCTTTGGACCATTCTGTTCTCCTGCTTCCTAGATTAAAATTTTTAAGATCACTGCTCCTAGAATTGCCTTGCTTTCTGAAAGCACCCAATCCAGAGTCAAACTATGTGCGATTCATGGAACCCTTCTTGCATTCACCTACCACAAGCCCAAATCCTATAAAAAGCCCTTCCTAGCACCCCCATACTGGGGTCCGTGTGGTTCCCCATGGTGTGTGGTCTTCGTTGTGCAAAAACGTGCTGCTAAACCCAACTTGATTCAATCACGGATCTGTTCCTTGTGATGTTTGCCTGGTGGACACTGACAATAATTATTTGAGCCTGGACTATAACTCCATTTTACATATAAAAATTCCATTTTACATTTTTTGTTGTTGCAGATTGGCAATATTCAAAAATGCAACTACCAATCAAGTGAAGGAAGGTTGTGTTCTTTGTTCAGTACTTTACCAAGAGGTGTCCACCATTTTGAAGACGGTCACCAGTGGCAACATTGCTTGTGGCATTTGAGTTGCAAATCAAAACTGCAGTAGTATGCATTTGTAGTGGCCACATTAACAGTAATTATAGGTACACACACAAGCATATGATTGTGTCTTTAGGAGTTGTGGCCATTTATTTTCATGTTGAATTACATATTATCATAAATTGCTTCCTTTTATTTCTCCTTTATATTATAGTTAGATATTATATTGATTAAAAAATGCCTGAGGTAAGTTATGTTGTCTATCCTTTAAGTTTTTTTAGAACAATAAAAAGGTGTTTAAAATATTTGTAATAAAAAGTGGCTGTGGGTCCGAAGGGGCAAAAAACAGTGGTCTACAGTCAAAGATAGTCTGCCCCTCAGACCTTCTTTGTTGGAGCTGGAGAGTGGATGGATTTGAGCTTACACCCTGGTGTTCTAATATTCTCTGTTGCTTACTGAAGGTGGATGCCATATGCTTTGGAAACCAGCATGGATATTCTGTGAAATGTGAGAAACCAAGCAGTTTTCTCAATTGCATATCAGAGGTGGTATATCATAGGTGGTGAAGGGTGGCGTTCTGTGTAAATTCAGTATATGCTGCTTATATTAATTTAAAAGAAATCCAATGTATCCCACTTGGTAATAAATCCTGGAGAAGCATTTCCAGAGTGGTGAAGTAAGGATCTTTGAAAATCTGATTCTCCGTAAAGTCAGAACACTGGCAGAAACTATCAAAATCAACTTTTTGAAACTCCAGAAATTAACCAAAGGATTGCAACAACCTGAAGAATATGTGTTTGAGAAAAAAAGCTGCACCTCTGTTAGATCAATAAGCTTTGTGGGCTTTTAACTTGTCCTGTTTCATCCCTCTCACCCAGCTTTCTGGTAGTCTTGAAAATCAGCAGCCTTGAAACTGCAGTAGCTGTGAAAACCAGTAGCCTAGCAGCCAGTGAAGGAGTTTGGAGTTCTCCC